GAGTCCTCCCTGACAAAAATCGGCTGTGACAGGTATGAGGCTAAAATCTTATTCCTGGCCACAGATGGCACCGCTGAAAAACAAGACATGGGCCCTCAGACTGAAATTCCTATGGTTTTTCACTGTTGGTATTGGCAAGTGGCATAAATAACAACAACAGAAAACTTACGTCTGACCGAGGCATAGTAAACCACCTGAAAACCCAGCAAAGTCTACAATAAACAGTGTTTCACAATATAAAAAATCTTCGAAAAAATATTTTTTAGAATAATTTAGTGTATTGTTGGAAATAGTATGATTGCAATAATATATAGTTTACTTCATAAATTATTAACTAACTTAATAAGTGGAGTCAATCTACAAAAAAAAGTTTTCTTTCATAAAATTTCGTCATACAATGAAATTTTATTCAGAATGTTAATATTAAACAATTTATTCAAAATATTTTTTACATAAGGAAATGGTTGTGTCTGAGGATGTAACGAACATTTAGTCACTATACAGTCTCTGTGGCAGAATTTTTTCTAGCTATTTCCGACAAAACTCTCTAGCACTAATATCTTTCTGCAAGATACTTTCAATAATAACAAACACATATGTCACTAATTTAAAGAAATAAAAGCGTTGTGTTTACAAAGAAAAAAAACTACATTTTTTTTTTAATTGAGCATGTAACAATTTTTTGTTCTAATATTCTTCGAATAATATTCTGATAATATTATTTTTACATATAATTTTCATTTTATATAATTTTTTAATAATATTTAATATTTTCTTATGTAATGTTTTATATATAATTTCTATTCTAATAATATTCTGATATTCTCGCATTTTGTTGGTGGGGGGGGGGGAACGCACAAATTATTTCTCTCTTCGCATTTTGTAAAGAATCATCGCAGTAAAACAAAAGAAATAAAAATCATGAAATTCATAGTGGTAATTGCCGGAAAAAGAAGATTGACAAGATTTGCAAGATTTTCCCTAACATATAACCAAGGAGCGCAACTTTTCGTGTGCACTCTTATTCATTCTCATGACTGCTCTTGTCTAATAATTAATAAATAAATTTTGTACCCTCCTTCCCAACCTATGACCTGTTTTAATCCTTCCACTCGGCAACGACGTTATAAGTCGCCAGGATTGAACGGTCGGGAAGGGGTACAGTTCGTACGGTACATTAAAGATNCAATACCTGCCAAAGAATATAATCGGAACATAAAGGCAGGATTCAAATATTACGTGTAAACTTCTGAAGAAAAGTAATTACTTTCACTTTTCAAAAGAAAAATCATTCTGCAAGAACTCTGTAACGTTCAGCGACAATGTCACTGTGTCGCTGCGATTCTGCCACAGGATATACAGCATTCGGCCTTTTTACCCAATATTCGGTTGGCCTAATATTCAGCAGAGTATTATTTGAAAAAGTAATTTTAGACTGTTTTTTTAAGGAGGGGGGGGGATGTGAATAGATTTAATAAAGAATAATCCAAAATCGTACATGTTACTCCACATTATTAGAAATTGCATCTTTACATATTTTGAATTTTATATCTTGCTTTATGTTTTAAAGAAGAAGAATTTATGTTTTTGTTCAATCGATTAACTCTGCTACTGTCTTTTTTGAGAACTACTCGCATTATTCATTTTAACGAAATGACTTATCTTAAACACTCCTTTACAAGCGTTCATTTTGACTTAAAATTCATATTTGTATACTTTTGAACTTAAGACATTAACTAAAATTTTGCAGCATTTATTTGAATACCTAAATAAAGGGAAATTCAAGTTCAATAAGCTTTTTACTTTTTCTGGGAAGGACATGTTCTGTAGATTCTGTTGTTGTCCACGTGCTTCACTTTCAGCTTCCTTGAGAATTCGGTCAATGGTTTTAGGATTATTTACATCTTTTCTAGGAACCCAATCATTCTAAAAGACAAAAAACAAATTTAAATACTCAATTTCAAACTAAAACAAAACTTAGAGTACAGTAATTTGATAGGGTATTTAATGACTTAGCCTTTTTAAATTTATGACATCTTGCAACATGAACCGGATCCTAGAGCTAGTTAAACGTTTCTCTACTATCTTTTGCATTTGTGTAAAATAACCTTCCATCTGAAAAAAAGGGATTGCTAAAATATGGGTTTAAAATAAGAGAAAATAAAGTATTTTGAGAAAATATGGTTTGTGAAAATATGGTTTGCTAAAATATGGTTAATTACAATAAATATTACATCAATAACAGATTATGAAAATCAAGCACACTGATACGATCAGATACCCTGTTTTGGAAGGACATGTTCCGTAGAACCCAATCATTCTAAAAGACAAAAACAAATTTAAATGCTAAATTTTAAACCTCAAACAAAACTTAAAGTATAGTTTTTTGATAGGGTATAGTATTTGATGACTTATTACTACCCTTTTTAAATCTATAACATCTTGCAACATGAACCTGACCCTAGAGCTAGTTAAACGTTTGTCTACTATCTTTTGCATTTGTAAGAAATAATTTTCCATCTGAAAAAGAGAGATTGCCAAAATATGGCTTTAAAATAAGAGAAAATATGCTGAAATATGTTTAATTACAACATGTATTACATCGATAACAGATTATGAAAATCAAATACACCAGTTTATATAATTCCTTTTGGTAAAAATTGAAGCAAACAATTTCAATAAAATTAATTTAATAATTAAAATAATAATAAATTAAATTTTAGATAAATTTTAGAATTCTAATGAGTAAAATTTTTTGCATCATATTAAATATAGTAATACAGGATAGCAAAATCCAAAATATAAATAATTACTATTTTAAGAAGATCATCAGAAAGTTTAATAATAATGGCTAAGTTATTCAAATGCATATAGATGCCTCAACAACTGTCTGGATTTTCAAATAACATAATTTAAATCAAGGTCACAATATAGTGAAGTAAAATTTACATTATCCATTAAAAGAAATTGAAACTTACCATAAAAACTTAAAAAAACATTAAATAGAAATTCAGTATTATTAGCGTGTGTCACAATTACATTCATTACAGAAGAAAAGTATGGCAGTAATTCTTTAAAATATAAATCTAGTTATTAGAAACCCTCCAAATTGGATCAGAAAATCCTATAAAAATTTTAATCTGTTAAAGATTTATTGTTCGATGAATCTGAAAGTATGCGTTTAAATAAGCTTTTACAAAAATAAAAAGTTCTTGAATTGAAGATAAGCTGTCTTTTTAAACGTATATTATTTACAAGAATAATTTTTCTCACATTTTATTACAAGTAAAAGCACAGATCAAAATAAAAACAAAGAACACTTACACTTTCTTTTGAACCTTTAATTTTTCGATCATTTAATTCTTTACCCTTAGTTTTCAGCAATTTACACAAGCACTTAAGTGATTCTTTATCTCCTTGAGAAATGAGCCTCTTTATACATTCATGCACGATTGTTCAGTTAACATTCCATTAACTTTATTTCTCCAATATATCTAAAAAAAAAGACAATTATAATAAGCTTTAAATTTGTTTTTATATGCATAAAATTTATATAGAATTGAAAATATTAACAGACAATATTTAGAACCATGACTTTCGTTCTTATTAGACATTCATTGAAAATCGATATGTCACGGGCAATGCAAATAATTGGGCATTGTTTATAATGCCCGGGCAATTTAAAAAGTGCCCAAATAGATATGACAAAATGATAAATTGTGTTGCAATTATTACATTGCCCGGTCATTATATATGTTATAATGTTAAAAGTCAATTGGGCAATTTGTGTCACACACAGCCACAGAGTGTCTCGGGATATTCATCCACTTTTAGATGCACCTGGATAATTTTTTTTAAATTTTTTTCCGCACATGCGCTGTATAAAGCAACTACTTCAATTACTCTTATCTGGCCCAGCTTTTTTTTTATTTTTTTAATTTTAAAGCAATAATTTCGTACCGGGCAATGTGAGAAATTATCGTAAAGTGATTCAAATTTATCAAATTGCTCAATTTTAATGGTCATTATTCATAATAACTAAGCATTATGAATACTGACCTAAATAATTACATTGCCCGTAACAGATATGTTAATAGACAAACGAAACTTCAAACCTGATAAGAATGCCAGATATGATAAACTAAGATTATAAAACAGACAGATTAATTTTCTGATTGTTGTCACGTAATTTTAAATTAAAATAAGTTAAAGTTATGTTTTCTTGTAAAATCAGTAATTCTTCACAGCTCATAGCTACCAATGCATACAAATATAAATCAGTGAGTTTAATTCATTTAACAATTATGGGTGAAAAAGAATTTAATTAGTAAGGCTTTTTAATAGTAAACATCTGAATATTTTAAATTATTTTTTAGAATAAGATTAATTCTCATGTGAAATGTTCTCAGTAAACTGATTCTTATAAAAATTCAGAAATCAGACTAAAATAGACTTCAGGAACCGTTCCTGGGAGTCGGGTCAACCTTCTATCTACACACACATTAGAAACCTTAGATTGATATTTTTTGGATCTTCTTTGGGGAATGTTGAGTTGGGCGGGGGGGATCTCCGTCCCTCACGTTTTATAAATGAAGGGAAACAACTCCTTAGATTTCAATCAAAACCTGTGTTGTTCAATTGTTGACCGATTGGAAAGTTCTTAGTTTCAAATGTCAGAGCGGGGAAAAAACGAATGAGAGGCATATAAAAAAGAAATTTCAGAAAAAGGTATCTCATTACAGATGAGCTCAATCCTGCTTTCGAAGGTCCGAACCCACCAGAGCCAAAAGAATTTTAATCCAAGCTCACCTGAGCATGTGGAAATACTTAAAAGAGTTCAAAATATACGTCAGATAAAGACCAAATTGTCATTTGATGTCTAAGCAAGAAAATCGGTCATTAAAACGTTTTTTTTTAAATCCTTAACCTGTAAAAGAAGAAGTGAAGAGAGACGACTGTCTCCAAGATGACTCGAACGAAAATTAAAAAAAAGAAAATCAAAATCTTGAGCTAAATAAAAATCATTTCTAAATTGACATTAAGCGTTAGCCTGACTAACCTAAAGCACCGAACAGAAGTAACGAGAACTCAGTAATTTTTTTATATCTTATAAATTTTACTTTTTTTATATTCAAGAATTGAACCAAATGTTTGTTTACAAGTAGTATAAAAGTTTATGAAAATATTATCATGAGTCCGAGCCCACTCAAGAAAATGTTCTTTTTTTTTCGTAAAAGATTCCGAACCCACATGGGGCTTATGCTGGGTCTATCTCATCTC